CCAAAGCCACAGAGAAACCCTGCCTCAAAAAACCAAAACCAACAAACAAAAAAACAAGAAACCAAGATGATAGGAAAACAAAGACAGAAGAGAGGAGCAACTGAGGGACCTGAATGTAAGCCGCTGTGTTGGCTGGTGGGGATCAGAAATGTGACTGGCAAGGAATTCTAAGGACTTGAGGGACACTTCCCCTTACATACTCCTAAGGGTGGGGCTGGATGATGAGCAGGTCACTGTCCTGTCTGACATTGCCACAGTAAACTTGATGCTGCATCTCCTTCCTGTTGCTTCGTGTTGTCCCTGCCCCCCTCCCACAGACCTGTGGGAAGTGAATCAGAGAAGGCTGGGTCACAGGAGCAGCACTGCACAGGGACAGGTCAGGCTTTCTGATAGCTTGCTTGGTCCGGGAACCAAATCTCAAAGATTTACATCCATAGACAGGTGCATTATTTTTTTTTATACAAAATTTCCCCAAATCTTATTCATTTTTACTATTTGTGTGTGCATGTTTGTATGTGTACACCTGGGCACGTGTGTGCCACAATGGGTATGTAGAGGTCAGAGGACAACTTTGTGGGGTCAGTTCTCTCCTACCACTTTTATGCCAATTCTAGGGATCAAACTCGGGTCTGCAGGCTTGCAGAGCAAGCATTCTGTCTACTGAGCCACCTCGCCAGCCCCTAGGTCTTAGTTCTTGCAACTGAACTTTCTATAAAACTTGAACAGCAGAGATAGAGCAGCTGGCTGTTCTGGCAAGACCTGGAAGTGTAGGGAACCTGACATGCAATGGTAAAGGCTGAAAACCTCACACAAAACAAGGAGCCAAAACACATAAGGCTCCAAGGATGGCTACCTCTCATGTCATCCAAAGTGACTCCAGGCAACGTCTAAATTGCTCTGGGCCAACTTCAGTAAATAAAGAGTGAACTTGATTAAATAAAAAGGTGGGAAAACAGGATTCTAAAGCTTCACACACAGGGAGCATGGCTGTGATTATCTCTGCCCAGAGTATGTTCAAAGCAGGTGTTTTCATGTGCTCATCTGGGCCACTGGGGGGATGGGGGAGGGAGGGTTCTTAACACCAAGCTTTTAAGTAATGTGTGTGTTTCTGATGGATTAGTAGTGAAACACACCCCCAGGTAATTGGATGGTTGGCTCTGAGCGGGACTCTGTACACAGACCCTTGAAATGTTTAGAGGATTAAGTGCTATTTCTAGTTATTGTTGTAAGAATCCCATCAGTATAATGATCAGCAAGCAGCTCTGTGAAAAACAGTGAGCACCCTGACACCCTGACATTCACACAGTTCTCTGCAGGGGCAGAGAGCAGAAAAATGCTTCAGTTTTTTGTTGTCGCCAATATTCTTGCCTATGGAAACCCGCACCCACCTCGTCCACAGATGGATACAGGGCAAAGAGCTCAGCTGGTCGATTGGTCTTGCGGGCCTCCTCTTTCTTCTTCTCAAAGTCCTCAGCACTGAGAAGCTGCAGCAGGTTTTCTAGCCGCTCATCAGGCTGCAGGCTGCGGAGGTCGAAGTCACAAGTAGTGAGGGGGCCCTTCTCAGACACATCACACAGCACTTTTAACTGACGGGGTCCTGTCTGTTAGAGAAAACAATTGACTTTCATGAGGGTCTAGGGGCACACATGAGAACTAGGCTCAGGGGCAATTCAAGACTGCTCTAGTGGGGTCTATAGAATCTCAGGTCTCAAGAAGGTTTTTTTGTTTTGTTTTGTTTTGAACAAACTAAGGACTTGACACAACTGGTCTTGTCTTCCTGACTATCCTGAAGTAAGGTGCTCTTTCCTTGGAAGCATGCCATTATTCATCAGGTAGACAAGCCAGTCCTGAGCAAGGATTTGAAACAACATTGTGCTCCTAGTAGTTGTTGGCTGAAGCTGAGTCTCTTGGGAACCACACTCACATCTCAGCTCAGAGCCAAACAGAGTTGGGACAAGGGGTAGCACAAAGAGCCTAGACTTCGAACTTAGTCAATTTCAGAGCTTGGGATTTAAGGCTAGAAAATAAGATGAACTCTTAAGAGCCTTCAAAAAACGCATAGACACTCAAAACCTGAATGTTAAGTTTACAAATACAGATATATGGGATTAGGGGTATACTTAGTCACTACAGCAGAGCCAGTGTGAGGCTGGGTGCCCCACACAAGTAACCACAGGACTTTAGTAATGACTATAGGAGCAAGCACCAACAAAGAAAAACTGCATGGGCTACTCAAGCAACAGCTTACAGCTGCAGTGGGAACTCATTCGCCTGTTTGTCTTCTCACCTACACATGAGCCCAATGGACTAGCACACCAACATGTTTGGATCATGGCTCTATTGTTCACATTTCTGTTGTAAAACACAATTAGTGTAAAATACATCATCTCAGTCATCTTTTGGTAGAGTTAAGTACATTTATTTTATAATACAACTAGCCTCATTGTCCATCTTCATGACTCTGCAAAACTGAAACTCTACACCCACTAAACAGTAACTCCCCATCCCTCCCCAGTTGCCAGGCAACCACATTTGATGCTCCACTCTTCCACAGTGGATACCTGGATTACTTCCATCTTTCAGCTACTGGGAGTAATGCTTCTGTGTTCATGGGTGTATACAGCATTGAATCATAATGTAGCAATTTTATGAAAATAATGGCAACAGCAATAACAGTAGCCAGCATTTATTGTGTACTGGGCTTGTTGGCATACGTGGCATAAGTGAAACTGACATTGTTCAAAATCTTCTGACTCACTCACTCCTCAAGTAACCTCATGAGATACTTAGTACCATCCTTGGTTTTCAGGGAAGAAGAAAACTAGAACCCAGAAAGGTTAATGATAGGGCCTGGGGACAGGGAGGTGTTGTGAGGGGATCAATAAGAAATGTTAGGCAATCTGACAGTGAAGGCTTTGAATCACCCTGGCTCTACCAGGGAGGGGCCCCCATAGGTCCCTCCCCCAACTACAGGCCCTTCCTTCACTTTTTCCATCTTAATCACTGTGCTTTGGGGTTTCTATTTGAATACCTATTTCTGCAGCTACAAACCAGTTTGAGGAAAATGGTCACTGACTCAGACAGTAGAGTTCCTCCTACTTGGATGTTCTACGAGTCTTACATATATTCTAGTTTTTTTGTTGTTGTTGTTTTTTTAAATTGACAGCCTGCTTTGGAAAGAGCTAACCTGTCACCTGGTAACCATGTTTGTTGATAGGAAATACCTGAGCGGCCGGTTCACTGCACTCCAGAGTTTCTGACTCAAAAGTCTGTTTCTGAAGAGTCTTGTGAAAATCTCTCCGTGATCCAGTTTTCTTAAAGCTGCAAAACTCTGAGCTTCCTTGGTTTCTTTCATTGTTGATATGATTTGATTTGGAGGGAGATGGCGAGCAGGAGAGAGGGAGGAAGAGGCAAAGCATTAGATTAAAAACAAACTAATGATGTAAGGGCAGACAAAGTCATAGAGGAGCTTTCAACAGAGGACAATTGTAATGCCTCCATCTAATTACGCTCCCAGACTCACACAAGGCCCTGCTGTAGTGACATACACACTTGCCCCCTGGCTGGCCACTATGAAAGGCAGGAATGGCCTGGGAAAATGCCACTGTAGAGGTGTGGTCCTTTCAGTTGTGGGACACTTGGCTCCAAGCTGAAGCTAAACTGTGACCATGTAAGAAGCTGAAATAAATCTGGCAATGTGTAGAAGCAGCAAATAGAGATTGTTCGAAGATGAAAATAGAGGAAGCCATTTCATCTCCATGTCAATGTTCTTAATAATGAGTAAGAAAAGCAGGACATGGCTAAGGAAAAAATATACAAAAATGTTGTACGGACCAACGTTCTTTGTTAACATTCCCAATCCCATTCTGAAACTTCACTAACTCTGTCAAAGGGATGGGATGTAGGTCAGTATCAGTTGTAGAGTGCTTTCCCAGAAAGCAGAAGGGCCTAGATTCACTGGTGTGTGTTCTCCTGAAGAATTGAGACCATGATGGGAAAGATACTCTTAAGTCGTCATTTCATAACTGCAGAAACCAATAGTATATTCCCCATTTTTTTTAATGTCTGAGAGAATTCTTGGGAAACATGCTACCAAGTGTATGCACACTTAATTGGTATGCTCTCTGCATTTATTGTAAAGACTGCACAGTTGGTAAAGGGACATGTAATTAGGTGAGAATTTATTAGGTAGGTCAAATGGCCTACAGGTAAAGCCAGAACTGCAGGGAGGCCAGTGACTATTCAAATATAGTTCACAACTCTCTGAGAGGGAGGGGCAATGTAGGAAGAGTGTGACACACACAGCAGGTACCAAGGGCATGTTAGTTCATTGTATTAAGTAAGGAAGCAGGAGATGCCCCAGTGCCTTTGGTTGGGAGGTCAGGACATCTCTAGATGTTACTGTGCTCAGAAGACAATTTGTTTTGAGAAAAAGAAATACACAACCCAGAAACTCTCTGCAGAGCAACCTGGCAACTATTCTAAGCTTGGCTTACTATGACTGACCACCTTCAGTGTCCCCTGGCCATCTGTACCCAGCCCAATCTATAGTAACGAGACTTGGTGAAAAGCCCCCTGAACTAGGAACTAAAAAAGAAGGAAATGGCCATAAGCATACATATTTAGAAGAAAAAAAAAAAGAAAAGTGTCTATAACAATTTCTGATTTGGAGTTCCTAAACAGCTGAAAACAAACAAAAATTAAAATATATATCGTATTATTCAAAAACATCAATGACAAAAGTATTTCCGGGGATGTCATAAAACAACAGTTGCTTGGATGTAATAACTATTTTAAATATTTCAGAGAATTCTTTTTGTTCTAGCTGCTCTGAGGTTGCAAATGAATACTGGATTATAACTGAACAACATTTATTTTTATAAAATTTACTTTCTTTTAATAGAGTTCTTTGGGGAAAGACCTGGTGTGGGATATCTTAAGTCTGCCAACATCTTGAAAGTTATTCTCAATCATATAACTCTGGGGAGCCACATGGAGGGGGATGTCAGGCCTTCTTGGTGCATAGAGGGGGGAAAAAGCTGGGTGCAAGACATCAAGATGGCTCAAACGGGTGGTGCTTGCCCTCAAGGCTTTAGAGAGCAGCAACTCCTGCAAGTTGTCTTCTGATCTCTGCACAGCTATGGCCTGCACACAAACACCCACAGTTACAAACAAATAAGTAAATAAAAAAGGCAGTGGGTGATATAGTCCGTCGCCTCACCCATTTAGCCACACTGTGTGGGTGGTCTAATACCTGGGAAGAGAAAACAACCTAACTAAAGTAGTGGCAAAGATAGGCAAGTAAGAAGTACTGTCTTGTAATTAGATCCCAAGTGAGAATGCACTAGACCTGTGCTTATTAGCTCTGTAAAGCCCTATGAGAAGCAGGAAAACAAGCCCCTCAGAAGCACTTCTATCTCCCACAGTGGTGTCTGCAGATACTTTCTTAGGACTGTCCCCTCCAAAGAGAACAGATTCAAAAGGGAACTGTTATAAGATCCTTTTTAAGGAAAACTTGGGCCATGGGGAGTGGGAGGTGGGGACTCGAGGAGCAGCTGATCTAAAGGCCTGAGGTGCAGCCACTTTAGCAACTAGGACTATACCTACGTTAACATGCTCCTGCCCCAACGATCTCATAAATTACACCTATTTCTAAGAGTGTTTACTTACAAACATGCAAACACACACACACACACACACACACACACACACACACACACACACACGTATGCACACACTAACACACAACACACAAATACAGGCATGTGCCTGCTTTCATCATGAGCTTCAGGTCATGTGTCTGCCTGAGGTGAGGGATGGACATGGGTAAATTCGAAGGTACTTTCCTGAATCGAATTTGTGATTTGATGATAAAAAGTCTACATACTATAGCAAGCAAAATAAAATCTGATTTGTTCTTCTAAAGACCCTTTTGGGGATACAGAATTATGCCTTTTTTTCTGTTTTAAACAAATAGATGCACCCACCCCTTCCATTTTGTTAGACTGTCTTGTGGAGTTCTTTACAAGGATCCCAAAGGCATTGCCAAACCAGTCAATTAGAGGTTGATGGTAAAGTCACACTTTAGCCCCATACTGATGTCACCTTTGTGACTTTTGCTATGGAAAGGGGTAAGACTAGTGTGTCCATGTTAGAGTCAGAACAAAATTTTCTCCCCTTCCTCATACCTTTTAGCATCCACTTCCCCATCTTAAAACCTCAGAAACTCACAATTGCTCCCCTTGGAAGCAGGGGTAACACTGGCTGGGGAGAGGCAGGGACTGGCAAGCACACGAAAGGTGACTCATTCCCAAAGTGCCAGCATGGAAGAAGCCACCGCTGGGTAGGTACTAAGACAGCTGGCTCATTGCCGTTGGCTACAGGCATCCCAGCCTACTCACCCCACCCTGGCAACTTACTTAACCAAAACCAAGTTCCCAGTGAGCCTGTGTGCAGACGGGAGAAAGATGGGAGAGTAGGCAGACTGGGAGAACAACTGTCCACAGGAAATGAATACAGTCTGCAGCTTCCCAGGAGAATCACATGCTTTGTCTTAAACACTCTGCTGACACACTCAGAAACACCAAACACTGAGGACTTCATGAAAGCATTCTTTTTAGAGGCCAGAATGTGCAGCAGGGGGAATCTGGCTCTTGGATGGGAAGGGCCTGAGTTCAGATGCTGGCTCTTTATGAAGAAGAGAGAGTCAAGGGAGAAATCTGGGCAGGTGGCCTCATGTCTTTAAGCCAGTTTCCTCAGGACAACTGAAGCTCATTTTAAGGTCAATTGTGAAGATCAGCGAATAACTGTGCCCTTTTCCCTCCCTCTCTCCTTTCTTCTCTCTCTCCCTCTTCCTCCTGCTTCTCAAACACCCTCTACTTTGCTTCTTCTTCCTATATAATTAAGCGTTAAAACCTCCAGGTGTATTGGAACAAGGTAGCCACCTATGTCTCAGGGTGGAACGTAGCCTCAGAAGTCCAGAATTAGAACTTGAATCCAGGACAGGGTAAGGAATGCATTTATCATGAAAGTGCTGCCTGCATGGTGTGGTGAATCAGAGCCCAAATGGTGCAAAGAAGATGTCAGAGCATGGCAGCCTGGCACATGCTCATCACTGAGCCAGAGTCTAATAAAGAAGCATTTATAAGAAGGGACACCTCAAGATCCCCTGAGCAAATTGAGAGCATGGGAAGAGCGGGGAGGGAGCTACGAGAATGAGAA